GTAGCAAGCAGTGAGTGGCAGAAGCTCATGATCATGATGATGGAAAAGAAGAAGCAGAGGCAGAAAGGCAGTGGCAAAAGCCAATGATTTGTGCTACTTTCTTTGAGGCTCCTCTGTAGTAGACGCAGAGAAAGAGGCAACAGCAACGAGCAGAGCTATCGTTTTTTGTGGCTTTTGTCTTCTACTTATTCTTCTGCCACTGCCACTGTCACTGCCCCTTGTCCCCTCTTCTGTTTTCTGCTTCTAATTTATTTCAATGACATTTTTCGATAAATGCAAGCCCCCTTCAACAAATCCCAGCCACAGCCGCAGCCAGAGAAAGTTCTTTTCAGCTCTCGCTATGGCTGTGACTCTGACTCTGACTCTCTTTCCTTTTACTCCCACCCATAAAGTGTTTATCGATACTGCTTGATGGGCAGCATGTGTGCTGTGTGTGTCTATGTGTCGGAGAGCGCTCTGCTGCTGCGCTGCTGCTTCTGCTGCTGACACTGCTACTGCGCTGCTGCTACTGCGACTGCTGCTTCTACTGCTCTGCTCTGTTAAAAGGTCGCTCAATGAAACATTTGATTCGCTCTCAAAAAGCAGTGTCGACCGCTGTGACACCCTAATTGAACAGTAATCCAAGTAGGAATATGCATTGATTGTTGCCTTTTGCACAAACACAGAATACCCTTTGGCGAACTCTCTACGGTTAACACGGTATAAAAATCAAAGCTTGGCTCAAGTTTATTTCTGGACGGAGTTTCTCAGCAGTGGTGGTTGTCGTTGTTGTTGTTGTTGCTTTTGTCGCCCGCTGTCTAGTGGCATTTGGCAAAATGGCAACAACATTTCATTTCATATTGCTGGCTGCCATTGCTGGTTGTTGCTGTTTGTGTGAACCTGTTGCACATGACTGCAAAATGTGACGACAAACAGCCAAGACGGACACACACACTCGTACAGAGAATTGAATTGTGCCACAAACAAACTGTGACAAAATGGTGACTGAACCATGATGTTACAAGTATTTGCAAAAATAAGCAATTTCTTTTGCACCCGGTACTCTCCAATCGAACATTTCATTTCAAATGGGTTAACAGTGAATCTACAAGCGTAATGCTGCCCGCGTCTCTGTTGCCTGGCGTCTGTTAATTAACATTTGGGGGAACCATAAAAGTGTTAGCGCCTTTTACACAGCTGTTAATCGGTTCATTGGATTGGGTTCCCTTTTTTTTGCTTTTGTTTTCTGCAATGTATGTTGTGGGTGGGGGTGGGGGTGGGGGTGGGGAAGTGAGCACTCCAAATGGCGTCAGCCTTTTTGGTTTGCCTTTGGGGTGTTTTGGAGGTGATTGTGCAAAAAGAAGAAAGAGCGATAGGGAAAAAACTGTTGAACAAAAACCGAAAATAACAGCAAGCAGCAGCCAAAAGCAGCAGCAGCAAGCAGCAAGCAGCAAGCAGTAATGGGGTTCCACGAGCAAGATAAGCCCCATACGGACTAGGTGGGGGGTGGCACGGTGACGGGCAACAGCGTCAGACAACTGAAAGTTGTTGCGTTTGTTTCTAAGCCAAACGAGTTTGTTGTTGTCGTTGTTGTCGTTGACGCTGCAATCACTTTTGGCGCATAAAATGCGCTGCGAGAGAGGGACTCAGACTAGAGACTTATAGACCCATAGACTTATTGGAATGCCACAGCCTCGGCTGACATATGCCCACCTAAACAACAGCAAAACTAACGAGAGACAACTGCAAAATAACAATTCCAACATCAACTTCAAATTGCTCAACAGTCGCTCTCTCTCTCTATCTGTCTGCAGTTTGTACTTCAACAATGAAGCAGTAGCCCCACCACACACACGCCCTGCGACAATCAACAATCAACCAGAAAAAAACACAACTTTGGTCAACGCTAAAGGGAAAAACCTTGGTGCACATACCCTTAAAATGAACTTAACTCTTTTGTCATGTGATAATCGGTGGCATTGGTTCACTTGGTGGCACACTCAGACAACTTCTGCACGAGAACTTTAACCAAATCAAACATAAATAACTACTGCATTTTGCAGGTACATAGAAGGAAGCGATGTACGCTGCCAGGCCTCTAGTTAATTCCCACAAAATAAGAAAAAATATACCCGCAGAGCATACACTAATTCGGCATTGCTGGAGCTCTCATTTGTTGTTTGGCTCATTGTTTGGGGCGACATATTTTAGGTGTGTTTTTGCCTGGAAAAAATTCTCATCAGCAGCGAAAACAAAAGACCAAAGAAAGAGAAACACAGTAACAAAAGTCTCCAGCGACGACGATTCATTTCACAAACAAATTTATACACACGGCACGTAAAAGAGCGTGGTGTGGTGTGGTGTGGGGAGAAATAATACCTACAATATTACCGAAAAAAAAAAACCCGAAGAAAAGAAAAGCCAGTGCATAAACAATAATAATAAGCCCGCGAGAGCCACAATTTTTGCATGAAAACAGCTGCAAATTAAAATCACAAAAGCCAACCAAGACCCAGACCCAGACCCAGATGGAATGGGAGTGCGTTCCAGTGAAGTAAAGATACAACTTTTGATTTCTTTTGGTACGAAGGAGGCCGCAGCCATGCGCCCAAGGCAGCAAGCAGCAGCAGCAAGCAGCAGCAGCAAGCAGTAGCAGCAAGCAGTAAACAGCAAGCAGCAGCAGCAAAAGTAAGTTACTAAGTCAAAATTGGCTTATAACGGGACGCACTTTCACTTGAAAAAAAAAAGGCAAAACTGACGAGAGTTTCAGATTTTACACTGAACAAAAGAGACAAAAACCAATGGCCAAACGCCAAATGAATCCAAAAACCCAAAACGACCAAAGGAAAACAGAAATTGTTGTGCTTTTTTTTGTGCTGTGTTATGTGTGTGTGGATGCTGTTGCCCTCATAGAGTAGGAGGCGTGGCTTCTGGCCTGACTATCAATATAATTTCCATAATATTTTCCAAGCAAATACTCGCATTACAGAGATGTGAACGAGATGGATCGAGTGGATGCCAGACCTTATGCAATCGCCAATCGATGACAAAATCAAACAGTAGTTTTGCTGCCTCGCTTTTACTTTTCGTTTCATTAATTATGTCTGCTGTCTGCTGTCTGCTCAAAGCAATTTCCAATTATGACAAACGACGCTGGCGCTGGGGGAAAGCCGTTTAAGGCGAGATCACCAAACAAAAAAAAGAGTAGAAAAAGGTTTCAAAGTTTCTCAGACAGATTAACAAATAGATTTCTGGTTTTTTGCCTGCCCTTTTGAGAATGGGCAGAAGGGGTGAGTGGTGGGGGAATTGAATAATATTAGGCATAAATGAAAGCTGAGAATAAATTATAAATCCTTGGTTAAATCGCAAATGGAAGCTCCAAAAATATGTGCCAAATCTATGGGCAAAAATAAATCAATCACCAGGAAGGGCGAAAAAAGGAAGAAGGAAAAATGGTAATGCAGTGCCCGCCAATGCCCGCCACCGCCTCACACGCCATTGCCTGCTGCCTGAGCGAAATTCTTGTGAAACGATTTCCTCACTCACCTGGCTATTACTGCAATAGTAAATGTCCGACATCCTGGATGGGATGGTTGAAGCTGTATACCCCCCCCTCCCCAAGTCTCAATGGTACTGCTGATAAATGCACTGTGGGGTCGCCGGGATCTATAAGCAGGGCAGGTTAAGCGGCATGACCGCGTTTTGCTGCCAGGCTGCTAGGCTGCCAGGTGAATGAGCCAGAAGCCAGAAGCCAGAAGCAAGAAGCCAGAAGTGCCCTAGCACAAGGAACAACAGCAGCAAAGCAACCTTTTTTTTTTTGTTGTTTTTGCTGCCTCTTCGTTCGCTCGTTCTATTTTTCTGTTGCAGTGCAAAAAGTGTCACACAAACTAAGCACGACTTGTAATCAATAGCCGCTGTTGACGTCGTTTATTGTTACGTTTTCTGAACGGATTAGATTTTCCGCATATTTATTAACAACAATGCGAAGCAAAACTTGAACAAAAACAACAAACAAAATACAACAAAAACAATGCAGCAGTCGGCTGCACTTCACGCTCTGTCTTGCAGAACACTCCACTCGCTTTTTTTTTTTTTTTTTTTGTATTTTTGGTTTTCTTATTGCTATTAATATTACTTTCAGCTCGGTTTAAACGTACAGCGCATGCGCGCGCACCTTTCTTTATTTATTTGTTTCTTTCTTTCGTCTCGGACTCGGACTCGGACTCGCACTCGTCTTTTGTTTTTTAATCGCGTTGTTGTCTTGGCTTGGCTTAAACCGTCTCGGGCCGTGGTAAAACTTTGACTAAGTTGGCCCAGACAAGTCTTCAGTCGACAGCTGTCTTGGGCGCTGAGTTTAAGTTGAACCTAACATCGAGCCGTTGCGGTTAACAGACGCCAAAGCGCCAAAGTGGTTAACAGTGGAAGTCGATAACATTTGCTGTTGTTCAAGCGATATTTGTGCAGTACTTCGATTGAAATAGACTGCTGCCATGTCTACAGCTTTTAAAAAGGAATTTTACATTGCTGGACTGGAACATTTAGACCAACATTTTCCATTTCAAATAGGTATTTTGAGAAAAAACACCGGTGTTCCCTCCTCTAGCGCTTAGTTAACACTCTGAAATGGCAATGTTACTTGCGCGACGTGCTGTTACTCTCAGTGGTTCAAACATTGGCTAGATTGAATCAGCTGTTGATTACCAGCACTGTCATTTTGCTACCCTTGCAAAAAAGAATATCCTCGAATGGAGAAAATGTTCGACATCTTAGCTTCAATCAATGCAAAACAAGTCATTCTGTGTTGAAGATTAATCTCAACGAGAATACATCTTTATCGATACATATAAACATAGAAATCATATAAAAGGTTAAAAGAATTTCAGGAATGATAAAGTCATTATTATCACTTAATGGAAATAGGGTACGCAAATGCTTATACCATACTATAGTACCGTTGGTCAGCAACAAATTGTCAAATGACATAAATTTCCATGCCCAATAATGCACAATACAATAAAAGGAAGACATGAAAACCAATCTTGTGCACGATTGATTGATGAATCAGATAAAATTATAGTTCTAGCGCTGAGAATCCTAACTAGCTGGTTATATCAAATAGAACATCAAAGTCGAGAAAAGTGAATTTTACTGTGTATTTACGGTTATTTTGCAAAAGGGAGGGTATTTTTTGGTATATCTCCGAGGTTCGGACGGTATATTTAATCGATAATTACGCGGACACTTTGATCAGCTGTTGACCACTCACCAGCACTGTCAAATGATTTCGATTTTCGTCAACAGTTTCCTTGTTATTTTATCAAATTTACCTTGATTTGCCCCATCTGTATGCAATGCCGCCGACCCACTAATACAGAGCAATGGCACGCAACGTGCTAGAGAGCAGTCTACTGGGCGCTGGCTTCAGTATTATCTTTCAGGTGAGCGCTCGTTCGAATTCGGCACAAATTGGTTGGGGAGCCAGCCCCACAGACCACCCTCCCCCCACACACAACCGCAATTAGTCACCATAAACCATTCTTATTCTGTTTCTGTTTGTGATGTTTTGCTATTGTTATCACCCTGTTCGCAGATACTATGCCGCATCCTCACGTTCGGCATCAATGCGTACATTGTGCGTAATGTGGGTCGCGAGGTGCTGGGTATCATGAATGTGCGCCTGCTGCTGCTCGAGAGTACGTTGCTCTTCTTGTCCCGGGAGGCCATCAATCGGGCAGCACTGAGTGCCAATTCGCAGCAGCGCGACAGGTGCTCATGGGCTCAATTGATCAACCAGATGTGGCTTACGTAAGTAAATCCAAACCCATAATTTCCCCACTTCAAATCTCAATCTGACGCTCTCTCCCGCAGTGTACCCATTTGTGCCGTCCTGTGTGGCCCTTGTTTGTACATTTGGCTCAACTGTCTGTCGACGGTGGACGCCATCTACTCCTCACAGTATGAATTTGCCTGCTATGCCGTGGCTGTCTCTTGTGTTCTGGAACTATTCGCCGAGTCCACGGTCTTTGTGGCGCAGGTCTTTTGCTTTGTCAAGCTCAAAATTCTGTTGAACACTCTGCACATCTTTGTGCGCTCAGCCATCTTTCTGTGGATCGTGATTGGGGATAGAAGTGCGGCCATCACAGCCTTTGGCATTGCCCAGCTGGCCAGTGCCGTGACCATAGTGCTCGGCCAGTATGGATTCTTTTACTTCTATATCGGACGCTTCAACGACTACAAAGTGCAACAGGGACGGAAGAAGCAGCCAACGCCAACCTCCTGGGAACTGACACTGTTCGAGCACATGGAGGATTTCCCGTTCACGCGTCTCAGCGAATTCCTGCCGGGCGTCATGTACGATCCCATTGGCAAGTTCTTCAATCGTGAGCTGCAAACGCTAACGCTGAGCTTCGTGAAACAGGGCGTGCTCAAGCAGATACTCACCGAGGGCGAGAAGTATGTGATGTCGGTCTCGCCCGTGCTGAGCTTCGGCGAGCAGGCCACCTACGATGTGGTGAACAATCTGGGCAGCATGGCCGCCCGCTTCATATTCCGCCCCATCGAGGACAGTTCGTACTTTTACTTCACGCAGACCATATCGCGGGACACGCGCCTGGCCAAGCAGCCGCAGGAGCAGGTGCGACAGGCCAGCAGTGTGCTGAACAATCTGCTGCTGGGCGTCAGCTCCATTGGCTTGCTGGCATTCACCTTTGGCCAGAGCTACTCCTATCCCGTGCTGCTGCTGTACGGCGGCCCAGACTTTGTCGCCGGCGGCCTGCCCCAGAGCCTGCTGCAGTGGCACTGCCTGGCCATCTATCTGCTGTCCGTGAATGGCATCAGCGAGGGCTACATGTTCGCCACCAACACCAGTCGCGACATCGACAAGTACAACTATCTGATGGCCATCTTTTCGGTTAGCTTCCTCGTTCTCTCCTACATTTTGACGGGCATCTTTGGGCCCGTTGGCTTCATCTTTGCCAATTGCATCAACATGCTCGGCCGCATCCTCTACAGCACCTACTACATCAGGCAGCAGTATCAGCCGCTGTCCCTCAATCCACTGCAGGGTCTCAAGCCAGCCAAACTCTTTGGCGTCACACTCATCATCTCTGGAATCATTTGCTATTGGGTCAGCCACTGCGCAAAACACTTTCACACTTCAAATTTATAATTCTTTCTTTCTCTCTCTCTGCAGTACCAAAGTGCTGCTCTGTTCACCCATTTGGGCATTGGTTTAATGGCCGGAATTGCGTGTCTTCTCGCCTGGGCACTGGCCCATCGGGATTTGGTGCGTTTGGCCTGGCGCTATGGCAGGCGTATCAAGATTGATTGAAGGCTTCAGGCATTGTTTTTGTGTGTGTTCTGGAATGGATTACTTAAATATTTATACACAGTAGCAACAATTGTAAATTAATTCCGCAATTAAGTTTATTTACCAAATTTAATGTTTGTAGTGCTTCAAATTGCTTCGTTAATGTTAAGGCATGCATTAAAAGACAACGATAGATTGTATTATAGTTTTGTTTAAACAACAACTGAAAAATTAAATAGCAAAACATAATAGGGGTATTGGTTTTATTTCCTTTTTCGTGCACAAGAAAAGAGCACCCCAAATGGCTCTCTATAAGGCACTAACGCGCACGCAGAAATTTACTAACGCATGCATGTAAATAAACCAACGTCACCAAATATCACACTAAATACCAACCAAATGGATATGTACTGTAACTCTACTCCCATTTAACCATGAATGGTAACACTTTAAATACATTTCTTGGATTTGTATGTGAAGCCATCAGCAGAAATTCCAACACATAATTTGCTTCAACAGAAACGGTCACATTTAGCAAACGAGCGCGCAAGTAACAACATTTTCGTATAAAGTCTGCTGAATTTTAAAGTAATTCGCCGGCAAAAATGAAGCGTGCAAAGGAGGAGGACAAGGACGAGTCCACCAGTGCCAACGGCACGTTGAATTCGAGCGCCGGCAGCAACAGCAACGATGCTGCCGCAACGACAAGCACCGCCACAACAACCACAGCAACTCGCACTACAGGACGCCTCAAGGTAAGTTACAATTTCCCGCCGATTTACCAAATACCTCCCGGTACTGAATATTCATTCATTTCACTTGCCCGCCGCAACTAATAGAAGCCCAAACAAGTGTACGATCCATCCGATAACTATGTACGATACCGCAACACAACGCCAGCAAACGCCACAGCACAGACGGCGCCAATGCCGGCACCGGCCGCGACCGCGACCGCCACAGCAGCGGTCCCAGTGCGTGTTACATCGCCTGTGGCGGTGGCTGCAACCAAGCCAGATTCAGTTGCCAATGCTGATGCCCAAGATGCTGAGTCAGGCGCCCAGCCGCAGCGTCAGTATGATATATGTCAGAAATGCAAACAGATGGAAGTAAAGCGTGGCTCTGGACACAAAAGTAATTTTCTTGGTTGCAAGAGCTGCCTGCACAAATGTAAGTTACAGTCGCAACACACCGTACCCTACACACACCCACACACACACACGTTTCTTGTTATGCATTTTTCAGGGCATTTCTCGTGCATGTCCATCAGTTTTGATGTCCTCTCGGTTGCTCGCAAGAAGTACAAATGCCCCTCGTGCCGCAATTGCAGCATTTGTGGCGCCAAGGGAACAGACTTGGCCATTTGCTCAACTTGCGTTTATTCGTTTCATCGCGATTGCCATGATCCGCCATTGAGC